ATTACATGTACATCATGCTGTGGAACTCACATTACCCTGGGTGTGAGCTACCCTATATGTAACAGGGAGGGAGGAAATAAAATATGTAAGACAAATTTCTTTTTATAAAAGTAATACTCTTCATGATTCATTTAATGGAAAATAAACTTGACCAACTGAAATGATTCAAAACCTATTTTTGCACCCTGTCAAACTGATTATCGGTGGCAGCTCCAGGGGTGGAAATAATATTAAAATTGCTAGTGTACTCTGGTACAGTGGCACACGTAAAATCACTTGCCCTGATAAGTTTTCCACCATACCGGCCGTTTTCTTGTTGATTTTTTAAATAAACAACATAATTAGCATTGAAAAGTCAACTGGACATCAGTACAGTGTGATATACAAATTTGCATGCCCGACAGAAAAAAAACCTCTGGACTCGGACGTCGGGCAATGGGTTATTTCCACCCGAGCTCACAGCTTAAGATGGGCTGTACACTATGAATGACAGTGCATATTATAAGAGGAAATTAGGCTTTTGATCATAACATAGTTTGTGGGTTAGTTTAAGGGTCCAGGACAAATGAAGCTGAACTATTTTTGCAGTCTTGATGGTGTTTAGGAAATCCATCTCTCAGGTTTACAGGTTCTCATGATGTTAATTGATTTATCAAACAAGAAATTGAGAGTGAGTGAGTGAGTGAGTGAAAGTGTATGTGTGTTTGTGTGTGTAGAGAGACATATACATATATATATATATATATATATATATATATATATATATATATATATATATATATATATGTATATGTATATATATGTATATGTATATGTATATGTATATGTATATATATATATATATGTATGTATATGTATATGTATATGTGTGTATATATTTATTTATTTATTTATTTATTTATTTATTTATTTATTTATTTATTTATTTTATTTATTTATTTATTTATTTATTTATTTATTTATTTATTTATTTATTTATTTATTTATTTATTTATTTATTTATTTATACTACTCATGGACCAAAGTATTAAAAATATGACACAGCTTACTATCTGCAACTTTCATAATAGTTGATTGTCATGAACATACCTTTGAACAATATGGTTAAAATACACAACAGTTATATTTGTGTTACAAACAGTTTCAACACTGTTCCTAATCAGAGACTATTTATATCAGGCTTATTGTGACATGTTCTCTGGCCTAATATACTGTATGTGCTTCTCAAATACCATCGATTTTTCGGTTTCACAAAAGGCACATTAAAAACAAACTATGCTGTAATTATAAGCAAAGCCATACATGCAGAAGTTCAGCTCAATCAGTCAACAAACTGCATTTTTGAGATAATGTAAATGAAACCCTTACATGAATAACTTTAAGGTAAGGTACAGATTCTAGTATTTTTCTTGGGTTGAATCCCATCGGGGATTTGATGTGTGCTGGCAATTAGGTGACTCTGAAGGTGTGGGTTCAAATCCTGAAGTACTAGAATCTGTACTTATCTGACAAAGTGTAATCCCAAATATAGACATCTGTTACATTTGACCAATATCTAAATGGCATTGTGTATTCATATGTACATCTTATATCCCTGGAAAGGTGAAAAATACAAAATTGTCCGAACTTGGGTTACAAAGTTCATGCCCAAAAAGCACAAAACCAAGAAATTCAAAAGTTCCAAGACAGGAAGATTAGAGTATGATATACAATAAACTAATGTTATAATGAACTGAAAGCCACCACTAATGTAAGTTCGGAATAATGGTAGTTTGTTATGAATATTTCCAGTAATCTGCTAGTGCACCACACCATAGTGAGGGATACAATGACATATACTTGGTTTAAATACACATGCAGCTTAAATATGTGAACCAAACATCCTGAAGCTGAGGCTTCAATATTTGAATGCCACCCTCACAAATCCTGAATCTAGCACTGAATTATCATAATTAAATATTTAATAATGAATAGTGTTGGGAATTGGTTGAAATCTCACAATTGATGATTGCTTCATTACCAACGAACAATCATCGAAAAAAATTGGTTTGCATCATTTTTCAGATTTTCCTATCCAGGTTGTTATTGCAGATACTGGTAGGTATAAGATGATGCAACTTGCTACTTTAACGTGATGACTAATATATCATGACCATAAACTTCCTGGAGTCTTCAAGAAATATTCAGTCATGACTTTTCAGATAGTGAAGTGATTTTTCTAAAAATTAAACAAGTTTGCAGGCCCCAACAACTTCAAAGATATGTTCCATCGTCAAGTGTTTCAAAGACTAAAACAGCAGTTCCAAAATCGTTTGTGTTCGATTATGAGAAAATGTGATCTATTGCTTGGTCGTTCAGATACTGCGACCAATCTTCGATTATTTCAATTAATCGGAACACCACTAATAATGAAATATTACATAAATCCACAACAATAAGATTATTATGTTCACAGCATGTCTGAAAAGAGGAAATTTGGCTTTTCCCATCAAATGACATTTTTATTTGAGTATCTCCACAAGTGACCAGATAAATCTGATCTGCGTTCACAGATATCTGATATAGATCTCAATGAAACTCCTCATGCATAACCCAGGTGCTGGATACCACTGACATATTTACCTTACACCTTATGACTACAAGGTCTGTATATATTATATGCTTACTGAGTGAGGGAGTGTTGGGAACTGTTCACTATACACGCTGTATACAAATGGGAATCTATGTGGGTTTACAAATACCAGGTTACATAGAAACCAAGTCTTTGATTGTGCGTGCTGTTTTCTTGTAGTTGTACAACCAACCATGACTGAAACTGTTTTCAGGTCACGAAATGAGAATAAAATTTTATTTGAAAGATAATATAGTGAGTGAGTTAAGATTTTAAGTCGCATCACCAATATTGCAACCATATCATAAAGATCAGATCTGGCTTTTCTTCAGATATCATGTTTATCATATCTTGTGATATAAAGTTGACAAATATTCTTAGATCAGCTGATTAGACAAACATGTCATGTGCCTATACCCAACATTCTAAGGCTGTCTACTGATGAAACTGTGTTCAAAATAAGTGTTGGTTTTGTGTTTGATATTGAGATGAAATGTGAATTTAATTATTCCTGCAGATTATAATTTAATTATTGCAAAGGATTCCTATTTCTGAATCTTAATGCTTACCCAGTTTCTATCTGTAACCGAAAGAGAATTGTAATTTTAACACATTGTAATGGAACTTACGTGGCGCTTTTTTGCAAAACAAATCCACTCAAGAAAAGTTATAGAGCTAAAACACCTTGAGAGATAAGCAGATCTAGGGAAAGCATGCAGGGTTGTACAAACACACACACTCTCACACAGAGACACGCTGAAACACTCACAGAGGAACACACAAAAAAACCATACAGACACTGAAACACACTCTCACACAGACACTCTCACGCAGAGACACGCTGAAACACACACAGAGGAACACCAAAAGAACCCATACAGACACTGAAACACACTCTCACACAGACACACTCTCACACAGGGACACACTGAAACACACACAGAGTAACACCCAAAAAACCCATACAGACACTGAAACAAACTCTCACACAGACACACTCTCACACTGAAACACACACAGAGGAACACCAAAAAAACCATACAGACACTGAAACACTCTCACACAGACACACTGAAACACCAAACAAACCATACAGACACTGAAACACTCTCACACAGACACACTCTCACACAGTGACACACTGAAACACTCACAGAGGAACACCAAAAAAAACATACAGACACTGAAACACACTCTCACACAGACACTCTCACGCAGAGACACGCTGAAACACACAGAGAGGAACACCAAAAGAACCCATACAGACACTGAAACACACTCTCACACAGACACACTCTCACACAGGGACACACTGAAACACACAGAGTAACACCCAAAAAAACCATACAGACACTGAAACACTCTCACACAGACACACTCTCACACAGGGACACACTGAAACACACACAGAGGAACACCCAAAAAACCCATACAGACACTGAACCACTCTCACACAGACACTCTCACACAGACACATCGAAACACTCACATCGAAACACACACACCTCACACAGAGAGAGAGAGAAGAGAGAGAGAGACAGACACACCAAACACACACAGACACATCGAAACACACACAGACACACCAAAACACACACAGACACATCAAAACACACAGAGAGACACACCAAAATACACACACACAGGGAACAGAAATACTCTCTGTGAAAAACATAGAAAATCACTTAGTGATATATTTTAATAATAAAACTTAATAAAGGTTACTTTTCAGTGCCACTAAAGCTAATCATTGGCAACAGTCGTCAGTCTATAAGCATAAGCATCAGCATGATCAGTCACATTGGAATTCTATGGACTGTTCAAAACTAACAGGTGCGTGATGCGTATCGTGAATGGGATAAAATAGAGATCGAATCTCCCCTTAAACTCTCACAACATGTTACAACATACTTGACTGACCTGGGTCACACTATTGCCGACATTTTTTAAACACTGTTAACAATACTCGCACGGATTCGACGCACATTAGAGCTGGGGGTATTCGCTCCTGTGTGATAAGTCCTATATTTACATAACTGTTCCACAAATAGACTGATACATGTTTCACTGCCTGTACTTAACCTGTTTATAACTCCCAAAGTCTAAGACACACATTCCTGTGACAGACATATATACATTCCTTTCACTGCCATCGAATAAGGAGCATGCTTATCACACTCACAGAACCTGCCTGAAAACTCCTCAACCGTAACCCCCAGTGCTGAATAAAGTAAACAGTTATTAGTTGATAGATCTTATTACAAGATCTGTATATATGTATACTAGTCGACTGAGAAAAAAGGTTGTGCGATGCTCGACACTCGCGACATCTACAGATTCGAATCTATAAGTAGTAGTATAACTATGAGAATACTTATACATTATTTACCTGAGTTGGTGGGCCACAACGTACTGTCCAAGTCTTAACTGACACTTGCTGTGTCATCTGACCTACTTACTCACAGACCCCGCGCCGGGGAATAGCAAATACTGTTTACGGAAACACGGATCACGTGACTTCTTATTTCAATCGGCACTTACGGCGAATGTGGGGCCTTGTCTCGGCGCGGCAGACCCGGGGATACACTGAGCGCTGCTCTGCCAGGAATTCGAACTGTTGCTCTATCTTTATTCAGGTTGTGAACAATTTAAAGCAGTACAATTCGGATGTTTGTTAGAACTGAATATATATGTATACCTTGTCAACGATCTGAATATTTGAATGTCGCACAGTATTTGTGCTAGTTCAGGCAATTAATATAACAACCGTGTTCAATTCAATTATCTATTGTAAGCCCATATACGTTTGGGTACATTCCATTCCAATGGAGATTGTTGTATTACATTGTGTTCTGTTAAATATTGTATGATGGAAATACATACAATTTGCGAAGTACGGATATTAATTTTATTGATAAATTGCAAGGGTTACCACTGCCATGATTTGCTAACCAAGCAATGGGTTGGGGTATTCTAACTTTTAGGTTTTTGGAAAATATATATCAGGCCACGCCCGCTATCATTCCTGATTGGGTTTTTAATAGGGTGGAATCGTGAAGATCCAGGTTAGAATTGGTCTTCAGCAACACACGTTTGTCGTAAGAGGCGACTAATGGGATCGGATGGCCAGTCTCGCTGCCTTTGGTGACACATTGTATCCCAGTTGTGTAGACTGATGCTCATTTTGTTTATCACTGGATTGTCTGGTCCTGACTCCAATATTTCCTGACCGCCGCCATATAGCTGGATTATTGCTGAGTGCGGCGTAAAACAACAAGCAAACACAAAAATTGTATATAGTGTGCAGGACTTGCGTTGTGTCATGACGCTATGAGTTAACGTTAAACAGCGTGTTAACTTCAGATTATTGTATGTGAATGAGTTTTACGCCGCTTTTAGCAATATTCCAGCAATATCACAACGGGGAACACCAGAAATGGGCTTCAGACAATATATCCATGTGGTGAATCGAATCGGGACTTCGGTGTGATGAGAAAAAGCTTTAACCACTGGGCTACCCCATCGCCCATTATTGTATATTATAGCACAGAAACAGCGATTCTTTTAAACCATCAGTACGTACACTTAATTTATAATGTATTGCCGGAGTTCATGTCATCATGTGTGTGTCTATATATATGTGTGTACCAAAGGAAATCCGGGTAGGACATATAGGCCCAGAGCAAGCCTTGCTTGTCCTAAGAGGAAACTTACTGGATAAGGTGGTCACACCGGGGATTTGGTTGATTCAGTTACGTGGCCTGATCACTGGATTGACTGGTCCAAACCCGAAGTAATGCTTGGCTTCTTTCGTAATATTATTTCACTCGCATTATGTACTATCCCCCAAGTTATCGTGGCTATATCGAATCGAATGAGCGGCTAATTAGCCAGGGTTAATGGATCAGCGGATCCTGGCACATATAGGGGACTCAATTTAGCACAAAGGTATTCTAATATCGGCAACTTCCACGCCACATCGAGGTACTATTGTCATTGTGATAATTCGCGATACAAATAGTTGTTGGTCCATTTACATGAAGATAGCGTGTAAATATTCGAGTCTGGACCAGATAATCCACATACTGACATATAACAACCAATAGCCACGGTTGCCATCTATCGCCTTACACGACAAGAATGTACCTTTACACATCGTAGGAATTACTCTTCCTTAAAATCGTCTTATGGGACTAAACTATACATCACCCACTTAACAAATAAATCACTTATATATAGGTCTTTTGTACATTTAGGGTAACACTTCGTAATTGTGATGTTAATATTCTCTGTAATTCCAAACGGCCGCGAATAGCTATAAAATAGCTGGTGCGGCGTAAAGCAATATTCATTCATTCCAAAACTCACAATAAGTTAATCCTATCATTGCTACTTTTGTTCGTTGTGCGTACATACAGACAAAACATAAAAACGCATAATCAGCTTTATATAATGACAATCAATACGCATCCTACATGATGAGTTTTGTGTTTACATCGCAACACATGGAATGAGATTTCGACCCGAATGACGATAATGTCGTTTTATATCAACTCATGCCTGAATACCCTGAAAATTGCAGTTTGTGGCCATTAAAAATACTTTAAAAACTCGAATATGCGTTTCAAATTGTTTCCCTGTCGGTTCGGTAGATGCTATCACATGTGTTGAAAGTTCTATTGCTATATACTATATACCGGCAATTATCTTTCAGACTTTCGATTTTCTGTGTCAAATTACATATTTCAATTTGAAAATAGGTAACCGACCTTTTTTAATATCTGCATGAACTGCAACAGTAATTACCTATATCATACAGCGGCAACAGATGTTTCTCATCGTAAAATAAAACAGAGGCACCATGATTATTCATCATTTCATCAGGTTAATAAAACAATTAAAAACAATACCATTGATTCCAGGTAAATAATATCGCGACTTTTCATGCGTACGGTCGTCGCTGTAGCGAGCGATGCTGCTTTGAATTTTCCATCTGATTTTCATATGTATTTATAGATATATTCATGATACAGATCAAGCACGATGCCACGCGAGTATTTGAGATTATTTACTGCATGCAATTTTCTTGCATGTATACAAGTATTCATTATACACTGTATATGTATGTAAATGTGATTTCCAACATGTGCTGCAGGCTATATATATGAAGTACGTGTGTATTTACACAGTTTCACCACATAGAATATGAGTTTGTTATATGGAACTTTTTATGCCAAGCACACCTTGAGTAAATCACACAATGTGTGTTCTCATATAGGCATGCAAATCATGTGTATATTTATGTAGGCGTATAAAATTAAACCATACGTATGCTCATGCAAATTCTTCAGCAACCCATGCCGGTCGCAAGAGGCGAGTTACAAGATTGGGTTGCCAGGGCTGTTGACATGGTTGATGCATGTCGTCGTATTCCAGCTACGTAGATCGATGTTCATGCTGTTGATTGTCTGGTCCATACTCCAATATTTACAAACGGTCGCCATAGAGCTGGAATATTACGGCGTTAAACAACAAACAAACAAAACAAACAGAATTAGTACAGCACTCTCACATCACCAATAGTGACATATGAGTCCCCCAATCATTCCTTGCGTCATTGAAACAACTAAGATATAAACAGAAGATCTTGTCTACATATTCTTATATCCTTCCTTAATACTCCAACTTCTAAATGCCCCTCAAAGACACCGAGATATTGTCAACGCGTATATGTATGTCGACAGGGAACCTAGCGCAGAATTAAGAGGAAGAATACGTTGGGTCCAGACATCTTCAGTTGGTTGTACAATACACAAATTATTATTGTTGATGGAGAAATAAGTCGAGCGGTGATTCCAACTCTATGACTAGACAAGTCCATCAAGCAGGTGTAACAAGCTCACGACTGTAAATACAGGGGCAGTCGGAATACCAGACTACAGATGTAAATATATATATAGAAAACAATGGACAAGGATATAACAATGTACAGACAAAGAGACTATGGCATTGCCTTGGACTTATTGGTGTGATGGCAGACACGACCAAGCGGATAATCTATTTAGGCTATATATGCAATAATATAAACTGTTTTGACATATTTACAGCATATTTAGTAGTCGAGATGAAACGGGTACGTGATTTAGTTCAAAAGCTATAATCTTTAAAGATAATACGTTGGCAAAACAGAGTCACCCAGTGACAATTTTACAACCACTTTAGTTAATATAAGGCTCGGTTAAAACGTGCCACGAAATAACCAGTTCGTGACAGTACTCGATATATATAGTTATACACATACAATTGTGCATACCGGTATTCGGATACTAAACGCATATATTAAATCATAGTTAGAGTACTCGCACAAAGGAGTGGACCCCGTTCCAAAAGGCGATCTCAGCTCTACCACGAACGTAGCCCAATGTTAAAGTCGTTACGACCACCAGCGCTAAGATCGCTCTGTGACAATATGCCCTGAACCTTTATCTATTATATGGCTAGTCTGTCTTACTGTTCCTGAACCATAACTTATTGTTTTCTCTTCCACTAAGCTTTGTACTAAGCCCTCTCTGTAATGCACAAGCTCTTAATAAAGCAGTCTACATTTTCCTCTTTATTCCGCCTACTTGGGTCTCCTTTTCGTTTCAAAGGGAGTTTTTTGTTCTATCAATCAAAATTATATATGTTCAGATGAGGCGTAAGCCTACTCCAAGGCGTGTATTGACTGTTTGATCTGCATCGATCGCGACTTCTAGAAGCATTACACTGATCACCTCCCTTTGTTGTCAAACAAGAAGTTTTAATTCCTCAAGTGACATTATAAAGTTGATACTCTCATGAGTGGTGCACATAAACATGTTATTTCATAATAATAGATCAATGTTGTAGTTTATAGTGATCCTCTTTATCTAACCCTGAAACCTGTAGTTTCAATGAGACAGGCTGAAAGTAGTTGCAACATAAAGTGTCATTAACCTTCAATGAAATATCGATTTCATATTTTCATCTATATAATGTTTCATTTCTTAATGCATAATAAATTAGCATGTTACTCTGACTGGTGCAGCTATAGCTGTACATGTAGGCGTGAAGGTACGATGTGCTGTAGGCGACTGGAGACGACATCGCGAGGAGTTACTTGAGTAAGATGACCTGCAGATTATGTCTAGTTGTAAATACTAATTATGACTTAGCATTACCAATCACACGATGTCGACTAATTCACCCATAACCTATCCAATCCACCCAAACACCCCATTCAATCCACCCTCCAACCACCCTTTCAATACGACCCTACCACCAATCAAATCTACCCTCCGACCACCCACCCAATAAACCCTTCTAATGCGCCCTTAGTGCCCATCCAGTCCACCCTCCAAATACCCTTTTAATGAATAACCGCCCATCAGATCC